TCCGGTATACCGGACCGTACCCAGGGTACGTTCCGGCAGTACCCTGGGGGACATGGACCCTATGAGCGAAAGTAAGGGTCGACAAAAGGTTGACAGAAGGAGAAGGTAGGGATGGCGGAGAAAGGAGAAGAAACATACAGTCATCCTCACAGGAAACGTCCCAATTAAACAGTGAATACATAACAAGGATTGTTTTTTGCATACACGTCGTGTAAGCACGCGATGCTTCGATTTACCTGAGGCCATTTAAGGCGGGGACCAACGTAGAAACGTCTGCATCCGCAACATCTCTGTTATAAGCCATATCGGAAAGTCCCTGCCGCCATATTGAGATCAGATAAGGGGGGTGATAAGTTGCCTATATATAGCATAGTTACGATAGTACTAGTCTATGTTTTTGATCTATAATTCTCTTCACTAACATCGTACTTCAATTCACAGGTGCGTTTCTGTTTACAGAAACATTTACAAATATGATTGTGGTAATTTGGGATATTTTGCAATGTTTGTGTTAATGCAAAAACTAAAAACGCACGAGTGTTTACATTAATCCTGTATTTTACATAGCGCGCCGCGGCCATTTTATACCCCTTTTTCTATTACCTAAATAACACAGCTGGACTTTCCGATATCACTTATTACAGGAAAAACTCGAAGCCGAGGTGGAAAAACTGAAGTCGCAGGTGGAGCTACTCCACCACCAACTACAACAATCAAAGTAAGTGGAGCAGCGCCATCTGCGGGCAACAATCGGAGTCTTCTGTAGTGGAATTAGCGGTGCGAGTTTTTTTCCCCTGCCCGTAGAATTCACGCGTTAGCAACACATGGAGTATCCATCCCACACGAGAATCGTCTGTTTACCCTGACGATACGAATTGTTGATACTAGTCGCGGCAGATGGCTCAGAAATGTCACACTGCATTATTCACCACACTTACAGCGCATCTCACTAAGTGCTAGACCATGTATTGACTTGGTTGGAGTGTGATTTTCGGGTTGGATGTATACTCACTGAGAACGACGAATGTTGAATGGCACGGTTTTATTTCTTTTCACTAAAACTGCTCGGTTAAGGTACTTGGTCGTCGAAATATAACTAATACTTTTGGCTGCCGGCCGTAATAATTTCGTAATAGGATGTGCTTTTCGGTTCCTCTCCTCCCTATTTCGTATTTTCATTTATTTATAGACTAACGTAGCTAACCCCTAGCGTTTTGTAGAGAGGTTTTGCTTTGGTTTTCATAGGCCTGTGCATTTGTTCACGTTTCAGACTGGAAAGCGCGCGCTACCAACTAACTCCTAGTGTATTTATAGATCCATTACCATCCAGCTTCAGGTAATGGGTGTCTTGTGTGCATGTCCGTGTGTTTGTGTGTGTTTAAGCAAAACGCTTCGTAAACGCCGTTGGTCTTTGCGGAGACACATGCAGCAGTTGTTTCATAGGTGCGCGGTGACGTGTTAGAACACTCGTCGATAGTCGTTAAACACTTCAGTTGGCCGTGCGCGTTCCCGCATGTTCTCGTGTTTCAAGCGATAATAATGATCATGAAACTTGTTTGTGGCGTAGTTTCGTTACGATCTGCTTGATTGATTAAATGCATTTAATAGAGTTAGGCAATATGAGCATGCTATGATTGACGTGAAGTGGGCTGAGGCATTAACGATGGGAAATTAAAGTTCAAGATGGCTGATCATGTGGGTTTGGTTATTGGGTGGAGCGTAAAGTTTTGGTGTTGACGATGGCTGAGGGGGCGGTGTGAGTGTTGACGATGGCTGAGGGGGTGGTGTGAGTGTTGACGATGGCTGAGGGGGCGGTGTGAGTGTTGACGATGGCTGAGGGGGCGTGAGAGTGTTGACGATGGCTGAGGGGCGTGTGAGTGTTGACGATGGCTGAGGGGGCGTGTGAGTGTTGACGATGGCTGAGGGGCG